GAGACAATATGACAAGGGGCTTATTACTCTGCACCTAAGGTTCTAGGTTCGATTCCTCCCTCACCCAATATCACTTGTACAATAAAGAAAGGAAGAAGGAAGGAGAGGATGAGATGATACAGGTCGATGGTGAAGCCAGAGACTTTCCATATAGTCAAGCCAGTGGGATTGCATTGTTATGACGGTGAGTGCTATAACACCAACCTTTAGTTAAATTATTTGAAGAGGGAAAAAGAAGCACCACATACTTTGTTCCGAAGTGTATTGGTAATCATTCCCGCCATCACTTTTTTCAGGCCAAGAGGTAGTGCTTTGAACATTTTGAGTAAAATCAACATTCTCAATTTATATATTGGAGAAGCACTTTGAACATTTTGAGTAATGAACACTCTCAATTTATTTATTGGAGAAGGGGCCTTATGTAGTATATGAATAAGATATATATTTACTGCGATTTGAAAGATAATAGTGGTTATACACCTGATCCATAGCCAACTTTGTTGACGAAGAAATAAGTTTCCCCCAAGTAGCATCCGCCATTTCATGAGTTCGGCTCGCATACCCGAAGTCCCTAAACCATACTCAACGTCATCAAAATTATTACTGTGATTTATCACTTTTACTCTAGTCCTTATGGTTTCAATTTGGTCATTTTTGTCCCTGTGGTTTTTATTTGAAGTCATTCAAGGACAATCCTCAATTTCTGTCAAAAAAATTTAAGTTCCGTTACTTGTGGAGAGGCAATTGGGTCCACAGATTATTAAAAGAGTTTTTCTATTTAAAACCCGCACTTCTCTTTGTTCACCCAAACTTCTAATTCAAATTTACTCAATTTCTAAGAGCACCCCATTATCTTCCCAAACTACCCCTAAATACACACCCAACTGAAAAAAAAAAATTAAAAAAAACTCATCAACCCCACACCCCCCACTATCTCGCTCCTTACTACTCTAATAGGGTGTAGAGGAGTTTGTGTTTTTCTAAAACTTAATATGAAGAGTGGTGAGGTGTGTGGGGTGTATATATCTATTAGGGTTAAGTATTAAGTTGGATGACCTTTTTTGTCTTTTTACACAATAATAAAACTTAAAAGCTTAATGAATTAAGTATTGGGGTGAACAAAGAAAAGTGTGAGGTTTAAATAAAAAAACTCTTATTAAAAAGTTCATTCATTTTAAAAATAAAAAATTTAAATTTAAATTTTCATAGAATTCTCCTTAAAATAAAAATAAAACCGCTATGTATTGTTAAAATTAATTATTTTAATTTGAAAACTAATTTTTCAAAAATTTATATTTGTATTTTTTTTTTTAAGGAATGAATTTTTTAATAATTTGTGGACCGAATTCCCCTCCACAAGTAATGGAAGTTTAAAATTTTGACAGAAATTAAGAATTGTCCTTGAATTGCTTCAAATTGAAACTACTAGGACAAAAATAACCAAATTGAAACCAAAGGGACCTTAGTGGTAAAAATGATAAATCACAGGGGACAAAAGTGACTTTTTGCTTTAAATTATAGTTACCACTTTCTAGTTAAATATATATGATTTTTTTTTTAACCTTAAAATAAAAATAAAACCGCTATGTATTGTTAAAATTAATTATTTTAATTTGAAAACTAATTTTTCAAAAATTTATATTTGTATTTTTTTTTTTTAAGGAATGAATTTTTTAATAATTTGTGGACCGAATTCCCCTCCACAAGTAATGGAAGTTTAAAATTTTGACAGAAATTAAGAATTGTTCTTGAATTGCTTCAAATTGAAACTACTATGACAAAAATAACCAAATTGAAACCAAAGGGACCTTAGTGGTAAAAATGATAAATCACAGGGGCCAAAAGTGACTTTTTGCTTTAAATTATAGTTACCACTTTCTAGTTAAATATATATGATTTTTTTAAAAATAAAATAAAATTTCTCATGCTGAAGATGTAGTATTTTCTTGTCATGATTTTTATTATGTTTATAGAGAATAGATAAACAATAATGCTAGGGACACCAAATTTGTGCACCAAATTTGAGCTCCAAATGATGTGGCATGTGTCATGTCATATATATTTTATTAACCAATTCCAACTTGGATTTTGATTTTATTTATTTTAGGAAGAGAATTAGTTCCAAAAAAATAAAAATTGCTAGCCCTAAACCATCAATTTGCTGTTGTATCCTTCCACAATGTTTGTTGCTCACCACCACCAAGTCACACGCTGATGAATCCAAATAGTTGCCCATTTTCTACTCCGAAGCCCAAAATGACTCTCTTTAGTAGACAATCAGCAAATCACTGCAAAAATCAGAAGCATCCTAAGAAAATTGTAGGTGATACTTTTCTACAATTGTGCTATACTTTCTAAGAAAAATAAAAATAGAAAACATGAGGAGAGAAGAAGGAGAAGAAAGAGCAGCAAACTTGGTGGGAAGGATTTTTTCTTAATTAAGTTTTAAAATTTTGAATTTTATTCCTAAAGTAAACAAATGAAATCATATTTCAAGTTAGATTTGATTAATTAAATATGTATGACATGGCACATGCTAGATCATTTGGGACTCAAATTTGGTGAGCATATGCATCCGAGAATTTATGTAAAGCAAGTGTGTCAAAAACAAAAAAACAATGTGTACATATCCAATAAAATGTACAAATGACCGGTCGCGAAGATAAAACCTACAACTCTGCGTTTGAGGGGTTTCACTAAAGCTTGGGCTAGTAATGAAACAAAAGTCCTTCCTTGTCAACTGTATGAGACGACCAGCAAACATAAAATCTACAACTCTCTTAGAAAACAGTAAGGAGTTGTGTTTAAATAGGAATACTGACACTTGTTGGAGCATTTGGTGTAATTCCTTCGTCGATAAAGACCATTGGCATTCTGGACATGCAGTCATTTGATAATGAATGAGGAACTCCTTGTCCAATTCCACCTTCTTTTTCTTGGCATGCTTTTCTTTACTTTAATTTGTTGGCTACTTGAGAAAAACATTCATTTATATATTTTATTTGTGCTTGTATACTCTTTTGACAATGTTATCATATCCGGGGCGTTATTGAGAAAAAACATTTGTATCACTTTTGTAAAAGCGAAATTTATGGTCATTATTTTTACGAATTTTGATGTGTTTATAGAAGTTGTGGATGCTCAAGAAAGCCCGTTTACTAACACGTTTAGTTTTTTATTTTTTATTTTCTCTTATACAAGCGGTATTGAACATAGGATCTCGGTGCATGTATAACTCCTCTTAACCACTTAAGCTACAAATCCCTTGAATTTTTTGTTTCACTTTTAGCTAAAGATAAAAGGGGAACTAATGGGGAATGTATGAGGAATGTAGTAAGAAGGAAAGAGGTAGGGAAGGAGTGAGGAATGAGAGAGGTGAAGGAAAGAATGCATTAAATAAAAACTTGAGAATGCAAGTTAGGGAATTTTTTTTAGTACAAGCGATAGTCTAAACTACAAGACGGAAGGGGGTCGAACTAGGGCTTGACTTGCAGACCAAGTGCCTCAGGTACCCCCATGACACCTTGGCAGTGCATGTGTAAGAAAAACCCATCCTCCTTCCTACAGAAAGTTTCAAGGATATGAAAGAAAAAGGTATGATGAACTTGTCAGTGTAGCTAGTTAGAAGTGATTGTTTTGACCCGTAAGTGATCAAATAGTAAGTTTGTACTTGATTGCAACAAAAAGTTTATTATATGAACATGACTGATAAAATTGAAATTACATATATACAACTGATACAAAAAAATCAACCAAAATGTAGACAGAATGTGTCATTTTTCAACAACAAAAAAACTAAAGGAAAGCAGATGTGCTCCCACTCTGCGACCGAGTTTGAATCCCTCTTCCCCAGTTTAGATTAGATTAAAATAGAATATCGCTTTTATAAAATAAAAAAACCGAAGGAAAAGAAACGGACGCACCTGACACCTTAACCCTTGGATCTCATCCAACGGTGGTGTGTTAATTTTTTCTCCCTCTCCTATTTCTTTCGCCGCATTGTTGAAGTTTTTCACGTCTTTGTTGAAAGGAGATTTTGACTTCAGATCTCATGGGCGATAGTATTGATTAATCAAAATAAAATATAAAAGTTCTTCCACCACTTCTCTCCGACAACATAGTCAAGCTTCTCAGGTACCTATTTATTTCTACAGATTTTAGGTTTCTTCTTTGGTTTTGCTCTTCAGTGAGCCACTCTGCAAGAAAACAATTATTTTTCTTCCCTCTTTGCTCCAAATATAATACAAATTACAAAATGCAGACAAGTATATCCACTCTAAGTTTGCCCTCATTTTGCTGCTTATATATGTGTTTGTTGGTTATATTTACTAACTAAACACTAATGACAAAATCATGTGTGTTTTGGTATGAGATCTTGAAACTGGATTTTTGAAATTTCAAGCATAAGCTGATCTACATCTTATTAATATTTGAAAAACATGAATTCTCCTCTTGCCGGAAAATTCATTCATGTTTACGTTAATAAAAAAGTGACTCATTGGATTTCTTTTCCTTGTGAAGTGAAACTAAAATTCTTATTTTAGTCCATGAAATGGTTTAAGTTTTGGTAGCAATGACATGGCTTTGTTTCCTTCTTGATGACTTTGTCTTCTAACTTATTTCTTTACACTCTTATTCAGGATGGTATCCACGAGACGGAAGAATTCCATGTACATCCCGGACGAAGTCTTGATCGACATCCTACTAAGACTACCTGTAAAGTCCCTCATTCGGTTTATGACTGTATGCAAGTCATGGAGAAATATATGATCGGACGCTTGAGCTTTATTGCTGAACATCTTAATAGGAATCTCAACAATCATGCTCATACTTTTCTAGTGGCCCTCCACAACAATGGAGGCACAGGAGACACTGGCTACTCTCTTCTCTCCAATGAAACATTTGAGGTGTGCGTTATTGTTTAACATCGAAGCCGAAAACCTTTCGGGATCTACGGTTCCAGCAATGGCTTGCTTTGTCTGTCATATGAAAAATTGAACATGAACAATCCTATATGGATATATAACCCATCACTTAAGAAACGTGTGACCCTACCAAGGACCAGCTTGTCGTGGCAGCTCCTTCCAGGGAGCAGCATGTCGTGGAGGCCTTTATTCGGATATGGCATGACTCTTGCGTTCGGGTTCCACCTGGGTGTGAATGATTACAAGGTGGTAAGGAAGGTATCAATTGATGTAGAGGAGCTTCTCTCTGCAGTGGAGATTTATAGTTTAAGCACAAAGTATTGGAAGACGGTTGATGTAATTCCTCCTTTGATAAAGAGCATGAAGTGGGTTTGTGGATATGGAATGTGTAATGGAGTAGCATATTGGACTATGTCAAAACAAAAGGATTATCTTGTGTCTTTAGACGCCGGGAACGAGGTGTTTCAAGAAATCCAGCTACTGGAGGGTATTGCCGGTGGGATTAAATCTGTTGAGGAGTACAAAGAATCAATTTGCTTGTTGCGACTCAACAAGGATGGGCAAGAGGAGCATATTAACATATGGATTCTCCAAGAAAAGTATTTTAAAAAGTTGGTCACTGTTGGTTTTCCCAGAATGAGTCTTACCCCATTGGGATTTAGAATGAAAAATGAACTTCTTCTCGAGCTTCATGAACAAGATAGTAAAGGATCTAATCTGGCTATGTATAATCTTGAGTCCAAGCAGCTCACTCAAACTGGAATTAGGTTGGTGAAAAATTACTATGATGCCTATTATGTGGCTACTTACGTTGAAAGTTTAGTCTTACTCATGGATTAAAACTATATGTGTTAACGTTATGATATATTGTTGTTCATTCATATATCTTACATCTTACATCATTACTTTATTATTTATGTACAGAAATCTAATAAATACCCACAAGAATGCAATTTTTGGCTTCTAATGAATTTTTTCCCAAAATAATTAGAATTTGTTAATGTATGAATTTTGATTAATTCTTTTGGCTTCCCTTGACAATTTTGTGATAGGACTTTTATATGTATTTATCAAGCTCAAGGTTAGATTAAGAATAGCATCTCTAAGTGTTCTTAACTCTCATCCATCCTATGGAGGTTCAAGCAATTTGATAAAGGTAAATCATGCATTGCATATCATGCATTAAAACTGTTTTCATAAATGATGACTAGTCATCCTTGCTCGGTAGGATTTCCAGCTGGTTAACCATCTGTTTTGTCCTATTCTCTTTTCTCTCTCTGCTGCCATATGTCAGTCTGACCTAAGGGATTCTTTTGTCTGTAAAGGCAAGTGAATTCCTCATTTTGGAAGCCGTCTCTTTAGTGTGGAAGTTTTGGAAAGATTGGCTTGCCATCTTTCTCTTCTTCTTCCTAAAGAGTGAACCACATATTTCATCTATGAGTTTTTCTAATTGATTTCTTTTTGAAAAACTGCTTTCGAAATATGAATCTGCATCTAGCTATTTAAATCGTTCTCTCATATAGATCTAGGTCAGATTCAAGACTGATTTCTTCAAGAGTATGGTTTCTTGAAGAAATTGGTCATTCTCCCTTGAATCCAAAGTTTGGTTTCGGTTTGAGTTGGAGCTTGCAAGCTAGTGCCATGGGATGAACGAGCTGGAGAAGGAGCTGCCATTGCCATGAAGAACTAAGCTTCAAGCTTTGCTAAGTTGGAGAAGAAGATTGCACAATGTTCTTGGTGGTTGACTAGTCATCTATATCTACTGTTTGCTGTTTACTTGATAATGACTTGATAATGATGACTTCACACACTTTCACCATAGTTGTTGCTAGCATAAGGGATGCCTGGATTGACGGGTCCTTATGAGTGCCTAGGTTGTCACTAGTATTCTTCTAGGCTTGCAGGTGTATGTAGATTGTTATGCTTTGTGTGTGTGATCTTGGTTATGGTTTTCATGACTAGCAGTTGACTAGTCATAATTATATTTGGTCAAGTCTTAAAGTGTGTGAATATTGTTGTATCTGTTTGAATAACATTTAAATTTACCCCTCGTCACCTAAGTACCAATTTCAATTGGTATCAGAGCATCAGCTCTTAACACAAATAGAGAGATCCTAGGATTTGTTTTGGTGTTTAGGTGTACTCACTATGGAAAGGGATCGAGTTGCTGGATCTTGCAACTCCCCACCTTATTTTGACGGAAATAACTATGCTTCATGGAGAGAAAAATTTGAGATATTTCTTGATGCTCTTGATGAGTATGCAAGTATCTCACATAAGAGTGGATTGCTCCGGTCAAGACTGTTGAGGGTGAAGTTGTGCCCAAGCCTAGGTTTGAATGGACTGAAGCAGAGGTGTTTGCTGCATATGCAAACAAGAAGGCCAGAAATGCCTTAGTTACAGCCTTGTCTAGCACACAGTTTGCACATATACAACACATCCCTAATGCTAAACGGGCTTGGGATAAACTAAGGGTGGTTCATGAAGGGGATGACCAAGTTAGAACCCTAAAACTTCAGATGGTGCTTGCACAATTTGAAGAACTTAGGATGTCTGAAACTGAGTCTATTTCTGAGTTCTATGGGAGAATGGAAATGATCACAAATGAAGCCATGAGTCTTGGTCAACCTATTCAAGAGCTTCTTGTTGTTCAGAAAATTCTTCGTGTTCTACCATCTAGATTTAGAGCAAAGAAAACCGCAATCATGGAGGTCCAAAACTTAAATGAAATTAAGCTTGGCAAGCTTGTAGGAAAATTAAAAACCTATGAGATGGAGTTGAATATGGAAGAAAATGACACTAAAGAATCAAAAAGTGTTGCACTTCATGGAGTGCATGTTTCCTCTTTGAAAGGTGGTGAAAAATCCTCAGATTTTGAGGATGAAATGGCCTTGTTTGTCAAAAAATTTAGGAGAATTCTTAAGGATAAGGGAAAGTTTGCTAGAGAGGGTAGCTCTGGTAGTGAGAGACAGTTTAGACCATCAACTGATCGGTCTAATGAGAGGAACAAGGATGTCAAACCTTTCACTAAAGACTTTAGAAAATCTGTCAAGTGCTTCACATGTGGAGGCATTGGTCACTATGCTGCTGACTGTGCAAACAATTAGAAAAAATACTCCAAAGGAAAGGACAAGGCCATGAAAGTGAGCTGGAGTGAGAGTGAAAGTGAAGTGTCTCAAGAGGATTCATCTTCCTCTGATGATGAAGACCAACAAGTTGCCTTCATTGCCTATGTGCAACCTGTGTCTGATGATTCTGATTTTGAGTCTGATGACCTGTCATATGAGTCATTAGGAAGAAAATATGATTGCTTCTTCAAAGAGACTTTTTCCTTGAAAGAAGAGAGTCTCAAACTTGAGGCCAATAACCAAGAACTTCAACATGACCTTCTCATCTTAAAAGAAACCAAAAAGGAGTTGAGTGACAAATTTGAGTCTCTAGAAAAAGAAATTGTTGCACTTGTGTCAATTAGGAGTAATCTTGAAAATCAAGTTAATGTGCTCAAGGAGAGTAACATTGGGTTCCAGAACTCAAACAAACAGCTCCTAGGTGAATTGAATGAAACCAAAAGTAAGGTTATATCTATGACCATTGGTGCCACAAAAATTGACAAAATGTTGAATATGGGAAAACTTCATGGGGACAAAGGCGGTCTTGGATTTAATCATTTTGATTCTAAGTCTTCCAGCTCTACCACTAAGTTTGTCAAGTCAAAAACTCCAGCCATTGCACCTCTTGATGTTCAGCAAGTAGTCAAAAAACCTAAGTTTGTTCCAACTTGTCACAGGTGCGGGTTGACTGGTCATATTAGACCAGTCTGTCATATGTACAAAAAGGATAAGACTAGAAAACTGTCTTCAAAATCTAAAAGGAATCCCAAATCTTTGCAAGATCAGGTTGATCATTTGCTAAACGAAGTCACTAAGATTGCCAAACTTGTCTCCCTTAAAATAAGTTCACCCATTGTTCCTAGGTCTACTTGGATTACAAAAGGTCATG